CCCCCAAAAAACTCCCAGAGTGTTTGGGTGATGCTGGCAGGAACAGGGAGGGGTTTTTGGGGGGTCTGTGCAGGGATGAGTTGGGCTGGGGGATCCCTTCCAGCTCAGGATGTTCCATCATCCTGTGATTGATCATCCCAGATGAAGCTGAGGAGAGAATGGTTCAATTGAAATGAAAAATGTTTGGTTTGTAAGGTGTAGGGAGGGATTTGGGGCTGGAAACTTGGGATTTTGGCCTTTGAATTTCCATCATCCTATGACTGATAATTCCAGATCATCTCAGATAAAGCTGAGGAAGAGAATGGTTCAATTGAAGGGAAAAGTGTTTGGTTTGTAAGGTGTAGGGAGGGATCTTGGGACTGGAAACTTGGGATTTTGGCCTTTAAATTTCCATCATCCTATGACTGATCATCCCATATAAAGCTGAGGAGAGAATGGTTCAATTGAAATGAAAAATGTTTGTTTGGAAGGTGTAAGGAGGGATTTGGGGCTGGGAACTTGGGATTTTGGCCTTTAAATTTCCATCATCCTATGACTGATAATTCCAGATCTTCTCAGATAAAGCTGAGGAGAGAATGGTTCAATTGAAATGAAAAATGTTTGGTTTGTAAAAGGTGTAAGGAGGGATTTGGGGCTGGAAACTTGGGATTTTGGCCATTAAATTTCCATCATCCTATGACTGATAATTCCAGATAAAGCTGAAGGAGAGAATGGTTCAACTGAAGTGAAAAATGTTTGGTTTGTAAGGTGTAAGGAGGGATTTGGGGCTGGGAACTTGGGATTTTGGCCTTTAAATTTCCACCATCCTATGACTGATAATTCCAGATCATCTCAGATAAAGCTGAGGAAGAGAATGGTTCAACTGAAGTGAAAATTGTTTGGAAGGTGTGGGGAGGGATCTCGGGGCTGGGAACTTGGGATTTTGGCCTTTAAATTTCCATCATCCTATGACTGATAATTCCAGATGAAGCTGAGGGAGAGAATGGTTCAATTGAAATGAAAAAAGTTTGGTTTGGAAGGTGTGGGGAGGGATTTGGGATTTTGGCCTTTAAAGTGGTTTCTNCGGGAATGCGCAGGGAAGGCTCTGGCAGTGGGTGAGCAGAAACACAGCTGGAGAGGCACAAAGCGCGGAGCTGTTTCAGCCTTTCAGCCTCTTCTGTTCTATTTGTAGTGTTTGTAACATCTTGGATGCTCTCCTGCCATTAGCGAGCGGTGTTAATGAGCGAGGCTTGCTCAGGGTGCTGCATTTTGTGCTCTTGCTGCGTTGGGAGCAGTGTTTGAGTGACCTTTGCATAACAGATGAAGGGTCATGGACACAAACCTTTGGTTTTTCACTGTCGCAGCAGCCTCAGCTTCTCCAGCCCTTGCAACATATTTAGCTTTAGTTTCTATTTGTGAAAAGCCGGCTTTCCAAAGCTCTCCGTGGGTATTTTTTTCCACCATAATTGTTCCTAGGAGCGTAGTTAAGGGTTGGAGAAGATACAGGGAGGGTGAGAGGCACTCACACTGCCGGTTCTTTGTGAGTAATCCAAGAGAAACAAGTGCCAAGCACTGCCACGTTTTCATCTGTTGGTAAACATCAGCTGCTGGTTGGCCTTGAGGGAGGAAGACTGAATTAGTTCCAGATGGAGAACTCTTTCAGCCCATTTAGACTTTCCAGTTGATTAAAGGCAGCAGGTCAGTAATTTAGGGGGGTAATTTTGTTGTTGTTTGCTGTTCTGCTCCGTGGCCGTGTGTGGAATCGGTGATATCAAAGCTGATATCAAATCTGATATCACAGCGCTGCTGAGGGCGGGGCTTTGGTTGTGCTTAATTAACTTGTACAAACAGAAAACAAACTCTGATAATTAACTGTTTTAAATTAGAGGGGTATTTTTTTAATGACCTGGAAAAGGAGGAGGAGTCAAGAATTCATTTTTCTGAGCAAATTCTCCTGGAGAACGTGTTTCTTTTTTCAGAGTTTTGTGTTAGACTGGGTCAGCACAAGTTTGTGGTTTAATGTGATCATTTCAGAGGGTCCCGTTCCTCAGTGTGCTGCTGGCATGAATTCCTGGAAAAATGGGAAAAGATAAGGGCAGGGAGATGGAAATCTTCAGTGCATGGCTGTAGCAACCAGAGAGTGTGAGGAATGGAAAATTTCACTTTTCAAGCAGCTGCTGTGTAGGGTACTGAGACTGACACCAGATATTGAACTCCTCAGTGTCTCTTTGTGATTTATTTGAGGTGCCACATTGAACATTTAAACATTAAAAATAAAACTAATTAATAATTTATATATAATAATTAAAAACATTAAAAATAAAAATTTAAAAACTTAAAAAAGATTGAACTGTTTGCAAGATCAGGGCAGGTGCAGCAGCTTTGTTAGAACTCTTGCATTTCTCTTTCTTTCACAGGGTGGTTTTGTTGTTCCCTCTGCTCTGCTTCTGTAACTTGCCACGTTTTGTGTAATTTACAAAAGGAAAATGCTCTGCTTGCACATCATTTAATGCCTTTTGCTGCCAAATCTGTTAGAAAGGCATTAAGAATGAGTTGTAAGTGCTAATATTGGATTGGAAGGTGTAGCAAAATGAGGAATGCTGCATTATTGCCATGTAATTAAATACATAACCACTCTGGAAAGCTCTTGGACGTATTTCCCTACTTTTTTCACCTGGATACGTGTACCAGGGTAGCTCTGGGATTATTGGGAGGTACAGCCCTTGATTATTGCTCCCTTTGCTCAGGTTGATTACAGGTTAATTAGTCTGAAGGGCAAATCTCCTGCCTGGATTTGCTGGGTTGGGAGGGTTTTCCTGGGGAGTGTTTGAAGGCAGACTGAGATCAAAGACACTGTGGAATCTGCCAGAGGAGTTGGTTAGAATTGGAAAGGCTGTGTTGAGGTGCTCCAGAGGGAAAAGGACATAAAATCACAAAGTCTGGTGGGTGGGTGGGTGTTATTTTAGAATAAAAAACCTCCCTGAGATCAGTTCTTGTTGCTTAATCTTGGCATGAAGACATCAGGAGTTCAAAATCCAGCCTGAGGGATTACAGACGTCTCTTTATCTTTCATAAAGTGCAGGTGAAGTGTGCTGTATTTGCTGCATTGGGGATATAAAATATCACACTTTTTCTTTCCCTTTTTTCCCCCCTTTAGGCAGAAAACATGGAGCAGCCCACGTGAAGAATCCTTTGGAGTTTCTGTTCCTCCAGGATGTTCTTTGAAGGACCAAACCCAGTTTTTTGCAGGCCCCTGGGAGATGAAGCATTGACCACATGACATTTTTATTTCAACAAGCGCTTTCTCAGCCTTGCTGGTGAAGGACAAAGCGTATTTAGGAAATATTTATTTCTCCACCTCGCCATGACGAGCGCCCTGAGCCCGGAGGCCCCGAGCCCTGCCCAGCTGGAGGAGAAGCCCAAAGGAAAATCCCTGTTCCAGCTGGGCTCCCTCTTTGCTAACAGGAGTGAGAAGTTTGTGATTGCTCGCAGCGACAGCCTGCCAGAGGAGAACGTGCTGAAAATCACAATCACAGAGACCACGGTCATCGAGTCCGACCTGGGCATCTGGAGCTCCCACGCCCTCATCTACCTCACTCTGTGGTTCTTCTTCAGCTTCTGCACTCTGTTCCTGAACAAATACATCCTGTCCTTGCTGGAGGGAGAGCCCAGCATGCTTGGTACCCTGCTCTTGCTGAATTCCAGGGGGAAATTGGGTTATTTAATGGATTGGGAGCCCCCAAAAAACTCCCAGAGTGTTTGGGTGATGCTGGCAGGAACAGGGAGGGGTTTTTGGGGGG